CAGTCTACATGGTGTCACCTTGTGCACCGAAGAGCACTGGTGACTAGCCTAGTTTTTTTTCACATCGGTCTTGGAAACTGTTGAGTGGCAGTTGATTTATTTCGTGAAAATTAGTTTCTTTATAAAGGTAGAAATTATGTTACGATTTCACAAACTTGAGAATATCTTATTCATGTTTATCTCTGTCCATTTGTATGTAATTTTGCTGTAAAATTTGCTTTCGTCACGAGTGTTAGCAATCCTGTTCACGATAAAAGTCTATGTCACCTTTGCCAGGCAATATTTGTGTGAAAGCTTTACCCCTAAAAGTCCTCCTCTGTGCAGCAAGGTTTTTATGTCTGTGAAGGACATAACTGGGCTTTTGAATTCAGTTAAGTCTTGATGACGACCTTCATTAAGTGGTACACAAACGTTTTCTTTGTGTACTCTCGTTGCTTATACAACTGTCTTCTCGAGTGGTATAAAATGACACCAAATTCCAAAGTCTGTTATCGTTTCAGCCCATTTGGACAACATTCATTCAGACCTGTCATACGATAGCCAGATTCGGATATGGTCTGTCATATTCTCTAGGTCTGATCCACTGTCAAAAATGATCCATTGACAAAATGGACAAAAATAACAAATAATATAAAAGTAGAAACTGACACAACGTAGGATGATTTTTTTATGGTGAGCTATATGTCGGCTATATAGTACTCCTTAAAAAAAGTCATCCTACATTGTGTTGGTTTCTGCTTTTATATTCTTCATTTTGTATGTGAAGCCAATTAGATCACTATTGGTCCAATGTATACCAGCAGGATCATTGTTCCGGTTGCTTGCTTAAACATCTTATCGGACAAAAACAATGCTGAAGCTCATAGTCTTTGTACAAAGTTTAGCTATTTTTAATTGACTTATTCCTATAATTTGTATCACAATTGTTTGGACCTGTAGTACCATGAAGATACACGAAGATCAAAGACATCAGAGGTCAAGAAAAGGACGAAAAAGACCAGAAAATGTTGTCACATCTGCCACGATTTAATGATCTTTTTTAAGACTCTTTTTACT